ACGCACTTTGATTTTTTTTTGAAAGTGCGTTAAGAGTGTACATCAACATTTTTAATAATGGAGACACTTAACGCACTTCGAAAGAATATGTATAAAACAAAAATTCTGTACTTAGATTTTAGTAATAGACAACATTATTTTGTTATATTTCTTTCGAAGAACTGATGAAATGATCTACCATCATCGAGAACTAGTTGAAGACAGGTAGAAGGTCCCTCAGTCCAACTCTTTATCTTTCCTATCCAAATGTATGTATTTACATGACTAGTATGACATTGATATACTTTCTTTCAATAAATTTGAGTTAACGTAAAGTAGATGAAAAAATTGAGATAAGCTGTCCTAAAAAAAAAATAACGCACTCTATTACATTAAAGAAGAGAGGCTCAGGGGCCATATCGCTGATCTATGCAACAATAGCCAAATTACTATACTTTTGCCAAAGTACCGTTACAAAATCAAATACAATTCAAAGGTAAACTATTTGAATTACCATACCTATACTGGATTTCAAAACTCCATAAAAATCTTTGCCGAGCGCTCGGCAGGCACTTTGAAGTGAAAGTTTCGGGTCCTTCGGATGAGACCTTAAAACCTGAGGTCCCGTGTCACGGCAGGCGTTGGTACGATAAAGACCCTCACTGCTAAATGACCCTGAGTGCCGAGTAAAGGTCAAAATTTTAAAGCCCTTAAACCCCTAAAAGTCTTTAAAACATCTGTATCTCAGATCCTGAAATGATCCGTCATCACCGAAAAGTTATCCAACCAGGTTCAATTAATTATTTATCATGCCAAAAATTTGCAAGAATATGGACCAAGCCGTGCACATTTTTATCAAAGTGTGTTAATATGGTCGATATTAACGCACTTTGACAAGAAATATAGGTTTTCAAGGTGCGTTAACTGGGTCCAAAATTTAACGCACCTTAAATTTTTTTAAAGTGCGTTGTAAAAAAGGAAACTTCACATGTTTGCAAAGGGAAAACAAAAATATGATATAGCAACACAGGATTTAAGCCATAGGAAGAATTTTTACATGCTGACATTTGAGGAATACTTTTCGTTCAACGAAAGTTTATTCATTTCTTTTTTAGAGAAGATCCATAGAGGAAAAGAGTTGAATCCTCAACGTCTTAAGACGCCATTATGAAGAGCCTACTTTAAGTTGACCTTAAACACTTAAATAAATAGGATCTTCATCATCGATGTTGTGATACAAAGTGCATTATTCGATTTCACCATCGATAGGCAGCCCAAATATTTTTTTCAGCTAAATAATCAATTGCTATTAATGCAAAGAGACATTTATCAAAACATTTATTGAATGTGATAACATACCAAAACATGATTTGACTAGTAAATGAGAAATATTCAAATGCGCCATTGTAGCAGCACGATTTTTATTATATAATTATCTACAACCAACGATACAAAACTTTTTTTTCCTTCAAATGCAAATTTTTAACATTTTTGACTAAAGTATAATGCAACTAAAACATGCTTTATTTTATAGTTCTATACTACATTATAAATCGTTCATGTATATAAAAGATCATGATGAGACAATTTTTCTTCGTTTTCATTGTGTTTATTAATTTTTTTGTGTGTCATGCGTTGTCCTTTAGTCCGAAGCTTTTGAAAATTTTCAGCTTCTTCTTTGGAACTGCTCCATCAATTTCAGCCAATTTTGGTAAAAAGCAATTAAACAATGGAAGTTACATCCCAAGCCCTTATCCTAATTCCATTCGTACATGTGTTAAGAAACATGCGTAAAACTTGTCCTAGAGTTTAAAAGTATTGGGTTTAATATTTTTTCATTGATTTGATCTGCTCTTACATACATAATACAGAATAAAATATTCAATTCACGTGTACAAAGGAAATTTATGATTTTTTGTTTATCATGGTGAATGGTTATTTTATTTCATCTTGTTTTAATACATTCAAAAGAAGTTTTATTTTTAACTTATCTATTTCAGTGATTACTGTTGCATGTGTCCTGTTCTAATCAGATCAGTGTTAAGATTCAATTATGTCGAATAACTACGTCTCACATTTACAAACCTATAGGTAACTTGAATCTGGAGAGTATGAAGCATGTTTTCATTAAGGTTTTAAATGAGAAAGTTGAGACACTTGAATTTTTTTTAAAATTTTTCTATGTATTTTTATTAGTTAGTAAGGGATGTCTTGGTATTAAACAATACTCAATATCAAAATTTAAAAAAAAAAAATGAAAAAAAAGAAACATGGGTATATGATTCCATGCTTTAACTGACTGCATGTATCATTTGTGAATTTGTGAATATACAATGAAAATATTATTTAATTGTTGAAATACAGGTATGTGTTAATTTTGGGATGTTGTTCCAGTTTAAACATATCAACTTTCTCAATATATACGTTTACAAGTCACTAGCATCACTCATGTGATCTACTGCTGTCTGTTTATGTCATCTCTTGCGTCGACCGTATTGTGGCATGCGTTATCCTTTAGTCCAAAGCTTTTGAAAAAAAAATTCAGCTTCTTCTTTGGAACGGCTCCATCAATTTCAGCCAATTTCGGTATAAAGCATCTATAGCTAAAGGTTAACAAATACTGTGTTTTTTACTGTCTTCCTCCCTTGGGCCCGAGGGAGGGTGGGGGATGGGGGATGGCCAAATCCACTCAGATTAATGCAATCTTGATCTTCTCTAGTCTTAGTAATCAAACAGTGAAACGATTTACACAGAAATGATCAGCATATAGCCCTGTTCAGATCTTGTGAAATTCATTGCACCTGGTTTCAGGGATACAGCTCCATGATGGGGCTTAGTTGATTATATATTAAAAACGCTTTATATAGTATTACTGAAATATGAAGAAAACGAATAGTAATCAAGCTCAAAGTCCACTGAAACAATACAATTTAAGAGAAGGGCAAACGCGGACCTCTCAAAACATCAGAGATGGGACCATGTGCCTTGGAGGAGTAACATCTCCTGCCGACCGGTCACGCCCACCGTGTGTTCCTTGTCATGATCGGGCAAAGGGAAAAATCCGAAGACAATTCAGGGGGAAAATAATAACAATTTGTATGAAAACGCCAGTCAACATTCGATAGATTGTATTTGCCAACAAGGGCATTGTATCGACCATAGAATTTGCTAAACGTTGGCATAAAACGAGACTGTATCATCAACTGATTTATCAATAGCTTGCCTCCTTTTAGAAATTATTAGTACTTAGAAAAGTTTACCTTATCACGTTTTATCATAAAGTTTTGCTTTTTATTTGCCATTAATGTTTTTCTCAAGTAAAATATCCAAATTTGAAACAGATGTGTCAGACTCTGTGAAGTCTTTTATTTAGAGTTTAAAGGGATATAATGAATCAACATATGAATGAAAATGAATATTGTTTATTGATAAAACGTTGTCGATATATGTAAATGTCAAATTGAATCCCACAGCAAATAACTTCTTCTTTTCATGTATTTTTTTAAAATAAATTTGCTTCATATGAATAATAGGTCTGCTAATAACGGAGCGCAATAAGTACCCATGAGAATTCCAATAGATTGATGATAATCTAACATCCAAGCTTTTTGATAAACGTGATGACTTCAAATTTTCAATCGTCAACTTCCCATACTTATGCAGCAATATACCTTCATAACCTGCTTACGGGGTTTATATTTCCCAGTTGATTCAATACAAAAGAGCATTCTCTACGTATGAACAATTTCTAAAACGAGGTAAGTTATTGACAAAAAAGTTGATGATTCAAGAATATCACCAGTCTCCTTTAAAGTCGTCATTTAGTATGTTCTATGTTCGATACGATGATCTTGTCAGCAAATATAATTTATCATCGAATCAAATGCCCATTCATACTAACTGTTAGGCCATTATTTACACACTGAATTGTCGACAGATTTTTCCATTATTTCTCGATCATGACAAGGAGCACACGGCGGGTGTGACAGGTCGGCAGGGGATGCTCACTCCTCCATGGCACCTGATCCCACCTGATGTTTTAGAGGTCCGTGTTTGCTCTGCTTCAAAATTTGTATTGTTTTATGGACTTTTTGAGCCTGAATACTGTTCGTTATCTTCATATATTTCATGAAGAAGAATTAAAAAAAAAACTTCCATATGAGAAGAATAAATCTCTTGCTATGACCTTCGATCAACTCGACCTTCAGACATATTTCATTTCAAATTCAAAGTAAAATATCGCGAAGCTTGATATCATTTATGAACTTCTTTAGAAAGCGATTAGTCATTGAATGTCCTTAAAAAAAATCTAAATTCAACACATATTTTTGTTTTGCAAATGAAATAACTACATAAGTGACTACTTACAGGTTTTGTTTACTATTTATTTACATATTTCTTCTCTTCTTAACAGTACTGGAATGACTTTTGTTACGATGAGAGAAAACTACAGTGTAACAATTGAAATTTTAAATGACTGTTATATTAAGAAAGTAAATATTTTTTTTCTACTAAACAGTACCGAGAATGACGTAAAGGGTAATATGATGATCTTCTCTGGCCAAAATTAAAAGTTATCAGATTTTACTAATGATATGAATGTTTTACCATATTTCTGTAAATAACAATACTATCTGGAATAGAAATTTCAGCTATTTCTTTAAGTAATTTTTAATAAATAGTACAACAATGAATTATTTCTGTTCGAAAATTAAAGTAAACAGAGGATCTTTTTTGTTAAGTTTAGCGTTTAGTGTAGCTTGTCGTGGAATTTGAAATAATGATCTAATGAAATTTACGTACACGTCAATGTCACTCATTCGTAAAGGTATCTGTAATGTGTGCCTCTCATAAAAACAAAATCTAAATCTAGATATATACTAAGCTTTCAAAGTAGAAAAAATGCTTTAATGACTTTCTTTTAAATTTAAAATTCAGAATTATATCAGTGAAAAATATATAAAGCGTACGTATGAACACTAAACTTTAGAGGCTTTCAGGAAATTTGAAGGTCTGCCATCATGCAGGTAAAAAGTCATTACATGTCCTTTTCTTATAGTGCTACTTTTTAAGAACATTTAAACCATCCTCTAAAAGTTAATAATTACATGTATTCATATATTGAAATTTTCAATGAAACAGATTCCTTTCATGTAACAATTGTCCCTTTTTTTCTTTTCAAAACTCATCAGTATAATATTTGTGTGAACTTTAATTTCAGTGTGTTTGGTTCTTATTCTTAACATTCCTACTTGGTACAAGTATTACCGATGCTTCAGAGAAGAAAGGTACAATAAAATTTGGTAACGGGAAGTATGACATAAAGGATAAATGCTGGGAGACAAAGCCTACAATACCAAAATTGAAGGTCAGCTCTGGCTACCAATCGTTGGAAATCAGGTAAGAATTTCCACAATTCATCTTATTCATTAAGTACCTTTAATAATATATTATTAACAAGTTTGATAAAAATAGCATTGAAAATAAATCACCAGTTGTTTTAATAATTTTTTAAAATTTATTAAGAAAATACCTCTTTTTGCGTATAATTATGTAATGTTTCCATAGATGACATTTTGATTTTGCTGAAACAGATCTAGAGAAATCCGGGCTTTATGTGTTAAGTACCCTAACTTTATACATTTTTGTATGTACATTTTGTATTTTATGTGATGACGAAAACGATCTCTTGCTTCTTTTAAGCCAGCTGTAGATTGCTGCTTATAAATGCTTTATTTCCAGTTCTCTATTAGACGACTTCAGGTATCTTTACCTTCCTTGATAACAATTAGAACAAACTTTTTAGCACCATTAATCTACAATTAGGTAATCATTACAGAATGTAGACATTTCTGAACATAAATCAGCATCGGCATAAGAAAAATCGTCATTTAAAATAATTAGTTAGCATCAGCGAGCATAAAAAAAAATACCCGAAGGTAATCATTTCTAACAGAAAGTATAACAAACGTTACTAGAATATAACTAACATTTCCACTAATTACATTTTTTTCAAGGCTTCCAAAGTTACTATTTCCTAAATTTCGGGATTTTATGCATATGACTAATTTTTGAGAATTTTATTTTTCTGATTGAAAAATTATTGATTTTTTCAATGCAATAAACACTATTTTAATAATTCAATAAAAAAAGGGAAAATAACGAAAAGATGTGGGATAGGTAACATTGAGGAGAAAGCATTCTCTAAACATTTTGTTTGACAAAGTTATGAGAAATATCAGTCGACAAATCAGTGACTTGAAAAAAAATCATGGACACATTTGCAGAAAAGTTACTTTACGCATGTGTGTTAAGACTAGGTTAAGGCGTTTCTATGCAGATGAACTAATTAAAACGCAATCAGGCTATACTTCTTATACAGAGAAGGTACAAACTTACTGTCTGATGTATACTTAGTACCCATGACATGCCATATACGGTATACAAATTATGACGTCATTATTCTTTGCTGTTCGAGGTTATAAAACATATCAATAAAACAGCTTCGGAGCAAGGGCATATCCTATTTAATTTTACACAAACAAGGTATATTGATTGATTGATTGTATATTGTTTTACGTCCCATTCGAGAATTTTTCACTCATATAGAGACGTCACCATATACCGGTGAAGGGCTTCAAATTTTGACCTTTACTCGGCACTCAGGGCCATTGAGCAGTGAGGGATCTTTATCGTGCCAACGCCTGCCGTGACACGGGGCCTCGGTTTTTAAGGTCTCATCCGAAAGACCCGCAACTTTCACTCCAAAGTGCCGAGCGCATGGCGAAGGAACAGTTGCTACCTATTTTTTATCGACTTAGGTCTGTCGCGGCCGAGATTCGAACTCACGACCTCCCGATCACGGAGCGAGCGCTCTACCGACTGAGCTACCGTGAACGGTAACAAGGTATAATAAGAAGTAGAAAAATTCCAAGGATTGATGGTATTACTGCACACATATCGACAGTTCATTTGATTTGTTACTATTTGTAAAGTTTTCAGTTGAAATGGGTAAAAATGCACAGCCAGGTGGAAGTTTCCTCAAATTCTGGTCAAATGAGAAAGTGCATAAGATTTGTGCAGCAATTTTATTAATCTTTCGAATATTTTTCATAGCATTATACATGATTTATGTGAAAATATATAGGATATGTCCTTGTTCCGAGGCTGTTGACGTGTCATAATTTGACGAGCTATAACATGTCCTGGGTACTTTGTATGTATAAGACAATAATTAAACTTTTGTGTATAATATATTTATCCTTTATGCGTTTTTATTAGCTCATTTGTAAGGAAACGCCTTTACCTAGTCTTAACTCACATGCGTATAAAATGTTAATACGTCTGTACCATCAACATATTTGGCAGTTGTCATCCCCTCTTGCGTTATGTAATCAACTTGGAAACATAAACACCGAATGTAGGTAAAACAGATGTAATGAAAATTAGGAAAGTGCGTTTGTTATATGTTGTATGTAGTTTAAAATGTACTGAATTCAAGCGGAAATTCAATAGGAATCAGAAATGCTAGATTAAATTCATTTTCATCACCAAACTAGATTCTTTAAATCATTTTAGATACAGTTGTATATTCTTTGAGTAATGAAATTGAATTGTTTTCTGATTAGATTTAAAACTATAAATGCAGTTACATTTTCCGTCAACCACAAAAGTTGACCAATAACTCCTCAAGATGGAAATCAGTATATGTCTGGCAGCAGACGGGTAAGATAGCAGTATGTGCCCACGGAACAAAGGGTAAACGTTTATAGTTAAGAAATAATGTTGGCATAACTTTATCTTTTCATTTCTGCGGATGAAAGAGGGTTGGACATTAAAGACTCGTATACCTTGTTTGATTAAACGGTGATTTATGCCCTATTTAGTCTCTTTTAAAGATTCATACCACAAGCATTTTTTTTATTTCCCACAAAGAAGAGTACAGTAAAACTCGGTTATAGCGAAGTCCTGGGGACTTCGCTATATCAGTAATTCGTTATATCCGTATAAGGAATTCATTAAATTTATATAGCTGGGGATCCAAGAAAACTTCGTTATATCCGTGAATTCGCAATATCCGTGTTCGTACTAAACAAGTTTTACTGTAACAGTTTTCAATATTTTTTTTCAATTGAAATCACCGGTCACAGTATCTTGGTGGTGGGCCGTTCACCGTTATCGGGAGGCCCGGGATCTATTCTCGTTCTTCGCACGGCGTCATATCTAAGACATAAAAATAAGTAATGACTGTTCCTTCGCCAAGCGCTCGGCACTAGAAGTGAAAGTCACGGGTCTTTCGGATGAGATCTTAAAAAACGAGGTCCGTGTCTCAGAAGGCGTTGGCACGATAAAGAACCCTCACTGTTCAATGGCCCTGAGTGCCGAGAATAGGTCTAAATTTGAAGCCCTTCACCGATATATAGTGACGTCTCTATATGAGTGAAAAATTGTCGAATAGGAAAAAAAACCATATGATCAATAAATCAATCAATCAATCAATGGAAATCTAATGCAGAAATTTTTAGTCTTTAAAATGTAAAACAAACTCTTGAAAATGTTTCAAGAAACTTTACATTAACAAAACTTTACACATTTCTAAATCTTTTCAAAAATTATTTTGAACTTAAAATTTAAATTTTCTTGCTTTTCACCAAATTATGTGACTTGCTAAAAAAAATAAAGCTGTTTAAGTAAACAGACATACCTATTTAGTAAGAGAGGCACCAATTATGCAAAAATATTTTATTTTTTAAAGAAAAGAATTTGTGTTATTTATCCTTAAGCACTTATAGTTAAACTTTAAACAACCTTTAAGTTACTTTAAGCTTATCTTTAAGCACTGAAGTAAATCTAAAGACAGCTAAAAAAAAAAAACAACCCATGAATGACCGTTTAAAGGCACATAATTAAGGAACATCCTGTGCATACAACTCATATCAATTTAGACAATCAACTCAAAATAAGAATTGAAATGTTTTAAAATCTTAATATTAATTCTTTTTTAGAAGAAGGATTCTTCGTGCTTTAAAGTGCAGATCGGGAATAAAGAAGTTAATTGACCAAAACTCATGTGACTGCGAACCAAGGTAAAGGTTATTTACTTAATTTATGCGCTACCATAATTACATAATACTACTTTACAATATAATTGTAAATAAATAGTGAGAAATATATTTCAGGAAAGTGTCAAATATTGGACTGAAAAACATTTGCCCACACGAATTCGAGTACGTAACAACGATATACAAAAACAAAAAAAGATGCTACGTCGTACATCCGCATAAGCAGTGTGTTACATACGCAAAGTGTAAAAAGAAGGAGTAAGTAATATAAAAAATAATCAATTCAATTATCTTCATGTATTTTCAATTTCCAATCATTTTGGTGTACAACTTTTAATCTTCTTGTTTGTGAACAAAAAGTCTTATATTTTCCATAAACGTAGTAATCGTATGCAACTTTTACCAGCATTAAGAACAAAATCCTTACAGGGGTTGCTCGAAGAATGCCTCGATGAAAAGTGCATGTTTGCCCGATCGACACCGTATTTTTAATGTCTGGGTTTTCTGTCCAGACAATTACCGATTTGAATTGGAGACCCTGGAGTTACCACAGTGCTGTACCTGCAGAGAATACTGGGATTGCGAAGATGATAGTTAACATCGGATGAGGAATTTAAGTCACAAAAGTTGACAACAGCATATGATGAAATACAAGCTTGGTATCACTGACTATGGAAAAAAGGAAGAACATCATGATCTTCTGAGAAAGCAGATCCTTTAATATGCTACACAGTTTCTTATGCTGTATATTTGTCAATAAAAGAATCAGCTTTTTGTTCGACAGCTTTTATTAATATTTTCGACATCCCACAAAATTCAGCATATTCAAAGATGAATCATTTCGTTTTCAAACTACTGTCTTTAAATAAAAAGATCGAAACTTTTGTTTAGGTCGGCATCCACAACGATCAATTTTGTCAAAACCACCCCACCCTCCCCACAATTTGCCTGTTTCTGGAAATAGATAGCACAAAGTTATGTACAAACATCGTATGTAATTATAATATAGAACTTGTACATGTACCATGTGTACACCTTTTTGAAAATTTCTAGATCCGCCCACATTAGAATTACGTCACCCCACGAGTACTGGTTTAAACTTTATCACTATTGGATTGCACATGGTGTACACATTATCATATCAGTAGGAATTAATCCATTAATCGTGTGTTTTAACTGAATTATAATCAATGAAGTTGACAGTACCTATGACAGGCGGTAAGTACAACTTTGGATACAGAGTGGGGTAAAATAACCTGAAATGCAAATGGTAAGGTTATAGTTTAAAAATTGTCGAAGATCATCGGATTCCACATGCAAGTTTTACATTGAAGCAAGTCCCTGGGGTGGGTTGGGGGGTGGGGTGGTCATTCCCATTACCTGGATATAGAAACAATCAAACAGCTTTAAATAAAACCCCAAAGCTGTCTTTGTATTATGACAGATTAAATGGTATAAGGGGTCATGAACCCCCCCCCCCTCCCCTTCGGTCTCCCTGGCCACCCCCTGTCCCTGAAACGACAAATGATCATGTAACTCAAAAATGGTTTGAAACTTTTCCCCTTGACCATAATTTTGTTTCTTGTGTCATTATGTATCTAATGGTATAAAGGTTATAAACGCCTGGAGGTCATCCCCACCCCTTTGAACTGGAAATATCAACAATATGCCTTGCTTCAAATTCAGAAGTGCATCAATGATAAGATAGCTTGACATTCAATTCATGATTTTGGGTCAACCCACCCTCCTAGAATTAGGAATGAAAATCATTCAGAGAGACGCACTCTTAAATTTTGTGCACATTTTTGTATATATTCACATTTTTTTCTATGACAAAACAAAGTATTGGTTTGCATACATGAACAAACGGTGGGGCTGAGAAGGAGGGAAAGGGGAAGGAGTTAACTTTGCATGTTTTAAGGACCCTCTCTACACCAGTGCAGAATGTTTTTTGGACATTGAGAAAATTACATTGAATAAAGGTGTAAATATTGAGCTTATCTGTTTAATTTTCAATATATGGTGCGTGGCATTTACCCCCAGGAAAAATGTTCAAATACAGTACAGTATCAGTGAACAGAAATCACTGTTGTTTATTTCCATGGAGAACATACATGTAAAATAATGTGTTCAATTAATTTATCTTGGCCTTTTAAAATGTTAAGAATACTTGAATTGATTACAAATTGAGTAATATGCTGTAAATTTCTATTTATTGGAATTTAGATCTAAGGGCAGATCACTCTAACTGCAGAAAAATACCATAGAATCAGAACTCTTTAGTGTGCAGTGTAGAGAGGGTTCTTAATTGTTGAAAACTAATAAAATTTGTGAATATTAACCCCACTTCTGACTCGTCATCATTATTTACTCTTCTCAAAACATACACGTACACGTTTATTAGTCAATAGATATAGAATTTTTGTCATATTCCCAGTTCTCCATTGAATCTAGAATGATGATACATGCATATACATATTATTAGAATGATTAAGAGTTGAACAAGACTTGCATCTTGCAACTAAACTTGATTGAGATCTGTGGTTGAATTAGCTATACATGTATAGCTTGATTTTGCTATTCAAAACACCTTGATCAGCTATTTATAATCATACTGTTTTCTAAAATATGCAGTTTTTTTCAACATGAATAAAAGTCTTACTATGTTGACATGGTATAAATTGTCAGCTTTGAACTATTCTGAAACAGTGCATGAAAAAAAAATTGCTTTTCAAACAGCTCTTTCCGAGCACTTGCAATCATAAGTTTTTAGGTTTGCATAAGGCTATAAACCTGGGGTATTTTCTCACTCCCCTTTTCTTTCTCTCTTTCTGACATCTACTCGGGCCAAAAATTAAAATGGAATAATATAAGTTTTTTTTAATTGATCAACATTTTGAGATTTTATACTGTGTAATTCATACTACAGCTAGTATGATATCCCTCCCAGATATGTAAAAAAAAAGTATACTAACAATCATGTCTTTGATGTAAAAGGACACAGCTAGAAGAATGATTTGTTACAAATGTCACATGGAACTCTTTTTACTCAAAAACATGTACGTTCTTCACTTTAATCCCTTAGAAAATACATGACTGTCTTCAGAGTATGCAAAAATGAATAGAATTGCGTTTAATAATTTGAAAACAACTAACTGAACCCTCAACTGATTTGTGGAGACAGGTAAACATACCTCTAAGGGTATGATTATCATACATGAGCATCTACTAAAAGTTTTAACTTTATATGTGAAACTTCATCACGTAGTGTTAATTAAAGTTTGTCCAAATTATGACCTCTATGGGTAGGGTAAGACCACAATAGGGAATCAAATTCTTACATGGGAATGTACAGGAAAAAAATGTTCAAAAATCTTCTCAAGAACCACTGAGCAAGAAAAAAAAAATAAAATTATGTGTAAATTCATAACATAGTGTAGAATCAAATTTATTCTTCCTACAGCTTTGACCCTGAATTTCATTAATACTCGGAGCACACGCAGACTATACTAAGACACATAATTATGTTTATCGGTTTTTGATTTCCTTGAACACTGTTGCCATGGTAAGTAAAAAAAAAGAAGATATTTTCTGTGAATTTCATTTAAACCACCACTCCTCCTATAGTTTTGGTTTGATTTCAATGACTTTTTGCACAATCAACCTGTAATAATATACATAATTCAATGTTTATCAGTTTTTGATTTCCATGAATGATGTTGCCATGGTCACTAAAACTAGCTAGATTAAAAGTGCAAAAACAACTTTCATTTTTCGACCCATATTTAACCATCAGGGTGAATATAAAAATTCCGAAACCTTATTGCAATCCAACATGAAAATATCAATCATCTTTCAAAAGATAATTAGGCTATTGCATAAAATATAAGAGAAGTTCTGGAAACAAAGGTCTTTTTGTATTAAAATGTTATTTTTCGACCCCCATTTGACCGAGAGGGTGAAAATGAAAATTAAGAAATCTTGTTGCACATCTAAAGGACACCATTAATCATCTTCCAAAAGATGATTAGGCTAGTGCGTAAAAAGTAGAGTAGTCTGGGAACCAGGGTATTTTTGTTTAAAAACGACACTTTTCGACCTCCGTTTGACCCCTAGGATGAAAATGAAAATTTCGAAACTTTATTGCATATCTACAGGACACCACCAATCATCTTCCAAAAGATGATTACGCTACTGCATAAAATGTAAGAGGTGTTCTGGGAACCAGGTTTTTGAAGAAAAACGTCATTTTTTGGCACCCGTTTTACGCCTTGGGTGATATCTAAAATTTTAGAACTTTATTGCAACTCTACAGGACACCACCTACCATATTCCAAATGATTGATGACAGTCTCTCATGTTTCAAAACAGAAGAGGGAATATGCTAGTTTTCTTTGGGATCATTTTTATAGATCAGTGTAGGCTATGGCTTCTCAAATAAAAGGCAGCTGATATGATATAACTCTTCTAGTTTTACATGAAGTATTTTTAATGATTTACAAGCTATCTGTACATTTAATTATTTGTACGCGATGTTTCACTCTGAAAGAGAACTATAAAAAACGTGTTCTACAAAATAGTAATAAAAGCTATCAAATGATTTAAAAAGGCTTCAAAATGTTAAACATAGCTTTAGAAGCTACATTAATCATGTTCTTAAGTGATCTACAAGATGATACAGTATATGGCTATTTCAAAAAAGCGCCCCCATTTGATTCGCCAATAGTCAATAAAAATACAAAAACAAAGCAAATATATGTTTGCATGTACTCAGTAGAGAAATTTACATTTGCATGATCCATAGATGATTCTAATGATTTTTAATCGTTTTTTAACTCAACCTACTTACAACAATAGGTAAGTTTCAGATTACTTCACTTATTGAAAAATTTAAACAAAAAATATATTTTCGTGCATCAAATTAATTGACTGGAGGAGAAAGGCAGGATCTACACGGAATTGCATATTGCACGGAAATGTGTTACTTTCGTAACAAATAAAATTATTTAGAATACATTAAACGTATTATTTCTCTTCATTTTAGTTGACCTTTAAATATTTTTTTTTCTGAAAAGCTTGAACACAGGATTAAAAAAAAATCTAAAAGCTAATATTTTTGCTCAATTTATTTCGATCAAGGTACTCAGATAGCCAGTGATTAGACATTCGCTCATATATCAGACTTAAATTAGTAACAGCTTCCAATACCTGTACAGGCAAAGTGCTCACAGCCTGTCAGTTTTTAAGGGCCTAATGAACTATTAAATAATTAAATATGCTAGACATCTAAGGAATGCAAGTGATCAAGTTGTACTAAAGAATATTTGAAAGATTTTAGAATTTCTCTGGAAAACAGAGAATATAAAAAACTAGAAATTGATCCTATTTTGCAAGAAACTGTTTTGCTTACAGAATAGTGTCGGGTTCTAATAATTTTAGGATATGTCTGGTTCTTTGGATACCTTTGTTTTATAACACATATTGTGACATGTGTCATTATCTACTTAACGGGAATGAAGAGTCAACCTTCATGTTTGTCCATTCAGAGTAAGAATAAGTGTTGTACCACCTAGCACTGTATTGTAAAATTACACAGTTACCGCCAAAGCTACCATCGCAACTACCGCCACAGCTACCACAACAACTACCGCCATAACTACCACCACAACTACCGCTTTGATCACTTTGAAAACTTTGATTTACTATAGCAAAAACTTTGACACTTTGATTTACTACAGTTATGACTATATTACTATAGTGATCACTATGACACTAAAGTGATCACTAGTGATAACTTGGACACTATAGTCATCATTATGTTACTATAGTGGTAACTTTGAAACTATAGTAAACTATAGTTTACTAAAGTATTTTTTGTAGGGTAGTCTATCTTCTATGGCACCTAATCCCACCTCTGTTGTCTGCTTGCTCTGCTCTCATTTTATAATGTTAAGATGAACTTTTTAACATGATTAGTGATCGTCTTTACATTTCATTTTTCTCGGAACAATCATTAACATTTAAGTTGCTGAGATCGACAGGTATATTTAAAATGTTTGCTACGCCCTTTCAAATAAAAATATCGAAATACAGCTACTTTAATTGATAAGAAAACACTGCTGCAATGTTTGTTACATAATATTTTATGCTATTTTTCTTTGACATTGTAAAATGAATACTGCTACCCAATTTAAATTTTTGCACAAAACAATACCAAAAAGTTTACATAAAGCTTTTGATATTTTGGAGCTATCTCATTCACCGGAACTCGATTATAAATTTCAAAAAAAAAAAAAAAAACTAAGCTTCATGCAATGGAATATTTCACCATCCACATGTAGTAGTCTCAATTGGAAAGGGTAGTTTTTTTTGGTTCTATTTTTCGCAGTTTACTTGGCAGAATAATCTAATATTTTTCAGGTCAAAAATCACTCTTAAAATTGCTTTGTTTACAAAATAAATAAGCCATTACGAATAGAAATTCCAGCTAAAGTTCCCAAGTCAAAGCATATATATATATATATATATATATATATATATATATATATATATATATATATATATATATATATATATATATATATATATATATATATAATAACAAACATGTGGTGTTTGTTAATACGGAAACACTATTTATAATAAGAAAAAAAGGAGATTTTCTTTATATCTTTAAGGAAAAATGCTTTTGATATTTATTCAATAATTTGAAATATAAAATGATAAAATGCATATTTTAAAGGAAATACCTCAGGAGGCACATATATTAACTCTGTGAACAGCATAACACAATGAACTCCATTTTCACCATGCTATGATCCCTCAAGGGGTGATCAGCAAATAAAGATCAAAACCACAGTGGAAGTACATTGAAATGTAGAGATAACGAACAGTATTCATGCTCAAAGTCCATTTAAATAATAAAAATCAGGAGCAGAGCAAACACGCAGACCTCCAAAAACATCAGAGGTCGGAGCAATTGCCATGGAGGAGTAAGCACCACTTATCGACCGGTCACACTGGTCACACCCGCCGTGTGCTCCTTTTCATGACCGGATGAAAAATCCGTAGAAATTACAGTGAAATTACAAATAAACTTACAGCATGAAAGATTGGTGAACAAAGTTCTTGATGTTCAGATATACCAAAATGACACACTTTATATGATATCTTTATTAATTAATTTTGTTTCTTGGTAAAGAAGAAATGCCCCTCTAGTACATTTTCTTGTCATCCAAATTTTGCAAAATTTTTATACGTTCTGAAATCTGACCAGAAACAACAAAAATTAAAATTTTGATACATTTTCACATAAGTCTGGTTCTCATAAATTTCGTAAAATATCCTAGATCTAAAGATATTAAGGGTAAGCGTGGACCTGTGATTTCCACAAAGGTGTGGACTTCAGAGTTTCCAATAACCTTTGCTAACTATCGCGAAGACTTTATATTTTTGCAATAGTATGAAAGTCCATAATTTTTACAATCGTCTTGACTTAATACCTTCTATAATAGCGTGTAGGTATACTTTAAATTTTGCACAATATTATGGACTTTACATGAAACACGATAGAATTAATACACAAAACTGATATAACATTAAAATTATTACTATAGCATGGATATCTACAGAAGCTTAGACCTCTAAGTTTTCACAGCAGGATTGTCTAATTATTTCAATAGCAGCGCAGATTCTGCTGTAACCATTGTAATCCGGACTCAGGGTAGAATGCCATGCAGCACAATGTTTCATACGTAAAAATAGGTGGTTTAAAGCATTGTACATTATTTCAACATTTTATTCAAGAAATGTCTTAATATAAATTGCGTACATATACTTAATTTAAGTTTTGAGCTAAGTTAGTAGATTGCTTATCCACAGTTTGAATTGACCAAATAGAGCCCTACAAGCATTTTCATTTATCAGCTATCATGAAAAACCTACTTTCGCAATGATCACTAGACACCCCATCTAAACCATCAAAATAAAATAGAAATGTTCTGAAGTTATGCAAGTAATGTATGTATTTTAGTATTGATATTTTATTATTTTCACTTCCTTGCTTCTGCCCTGAGCAATAAATAGATTGTCATTTGCATCTGTACAGAGTCCCCGGGGATCACTCAGTCCACAGTCTATGTAACAGAGGAACTGTCCATCCTTGTCTATAATGTGGACACAGTCATTTTTATCATCAGCTGTAAGGATGTGACTCTGACTGTCTGTAGTGATTCCTCGTGGACTGAATGGTTTGTCCTTTGGAGCAAGTTCATGTCCAATGTACCGGAACCTCAGTTTTCCAGAATGGTCGACCACAACTACCGTTTCCGCTCCATTAACAGCTACACAGATATCCAGATTCTTGTTTTCACTGACGTATTTATCATTTGGAAAATAAAGAGGGTTACCTTCATCGTCAAACTGAATGGCTTGTATTTCAGTGGAATCTGAATAACGGACGACTTTTGAATGTTTGTTGTCAACATTGTCCATCGTAACTAGGAGGTCGCCATGAAAGGTCCTACACACACAGAGAGGTCTCCAGTTCTGTAGTGTGATCAACTTGTCTATCTTCCCATTCCTCACGATGTTCACAGTTTTATCCCTAGAATCAGTAAAAACCAGATCCCCACCTTTTGTCAGTGTTATATCATAAGGATCTTTTCCAGATGTGGTTGTGATTGACTGGAGGAGGGATCCCTTATTGACACCAAAGAGTTTCATCTCCCTATCATTTCCACTTGTCCAGATTTTTTCATCATTCCGACAAACTACATTGTACAGATAACCATATTCGGTCTTTATAAGGTTGGCAGTCTCTGGTTTATCAAGTAGATATTTGAATAGAGGAGAGGAATCAATTTCTGGTGATTGTTGAGGTGTTTTCATTTTGTATCCATGTTCATCTGAAGTAATAAACAGAGTGGTAAGTTTTCCAAAAACCTTAATGAACTGTCCCTCTTCACAATTCCATGGTGTGAAATGTGGCATTCGATCACTTATTTTCGCAGGAAGTTTTTGCAGTTTTGGAATATGACTTTTGTATCCGAGGAGGAGAGATATTTCATTAGAATCTAATATTTTCTCCTGTGAAGAAAGTGTACGGTCAAAACAAATCATTTTTTCTTCAATATGTTGCTGATGTTTTTTGAAAGCATCGAAATGTATTTTTTTCATTTCATTGGCCTTAGATTTTAGCTTGTTTACAAGAATGTCAATTTTTTTGTGCCATGTTTCTCCATGTTTTGTTATAGCTGTTGAGAGATATCCATATTTCTTTTCTAACTGGCTCATTTTGTGCTTTACCTCAGACAAAATTCCCAGGTAGGTTGGATAAATGTTTTGCTTTATATATTCATTTTCTTTTTTAAGATGTCTTCTTTTGTCATCGAGAATTCGTCGTATTTGGGAAATATTATGCTGAATGTGTATTCCAGAGGAAATGCAAGCAGTGCATATTGGAGTGGTACATTGATTACAATACATTTCGCATAGTTCATTTTCATGAAATTGGCAGTAAAGGTTGTTAAGAGTTGAATTTTTGACGTTGGTGGCAACAATTTTATGAGATTTTGAAAGATTGGCGGAACAATGTTCACCAACACAGGCCTTACACAGCTTGATGAGGCACGCATCACAGTGCATCTCTACCACAGCGATCTCACACAACTCACATCGGATCAAGTCTTGGGTACTGCTACGGGGGTTCATTGTTGAGAAAATTCACATTCTTCAGAAGTCTATTCTGTAATTTTAGAAATTTGTTTGCACTCTTATGATTATTATCAGGCTATACATTGTTAATTAAATTGGTACAAACATATCACTCACAATGAAATGAATAGCAGACCTTCCTTGTGTTCAGAAGAAAGAGCAGCGATTGAACAAGTGAAACAACTATCCTGAATCATACATTACTGCAGAAAATCCTCATATCTTATGGTTTATTGAAACGGCGACATTTCATTTTTGAGACCGAGAAGAACATATGTTTATCGCTGTTCCTCCAGCTAGTTCCTTTTTATATTCTGTGGCCGGATGTATCTTCATCTGGAGAATTACGACTTGTCTGATAAACATAAGGTCTTGTCGTAAAAAATTATATTTAGTAATAATATGTTATTTTTAAACACTAAGCGTTTGTTAGAATCCTTATGATCTGAAAGATATCTGCCATAAAAGTCGAAAAATATATACCAAGTTTATCTTGCATGCAAAAAATCTGTGGGAAGGATTTAAGGAAATAACACGTCATCTGGACGCTACGAAAACACAGGGATTAAGCTTTAGTGGATTGCCCAGAAGGGGGAAGTTTACTTATTTTAGTAGAATCCATTAACTTTTATCATACCGTAAAAAATGTGAAATTGAAAGGTGAAAATAAAGAACAGTGATTATTCTCAAAATTCTATTTAAACAACGCAAATTATGAGCAGAACACAGACTTCTGAAAACAGATGTGCGATCAGTCGCCCTAAAGGTGTAAGCATCCCCTGTCGATCGCCGTGTGCTTTGTTCTTGTCATGATCGGGTAATCGGAAAAATCCGTAGACAGTTCTGTGTAAAAATTATGGCCTAACAATTTGTATAAAAGACAGTCAACATTCGAGGATCAAATTTTAAGTTTTGTCTTTTGTATTTACTCTCGCATACACAAACGAAGTTATACGTTGAATAAATAAATCAAGTACCAAATGACCAATATTTCATTAAATACGTTTACATTGTGTGACATTCATTATGACATCGCTTTGACTACGTAGCAAAGCAATGGATTTCTTATCTCAGTATGATGGTGTACACAAAATATGTGTAATTATCATTAAAGTTTTTATTGACGATGTTCTTATTTTCATATATTTCCTAGTTTCAAAACTTTCTTATGAGCGTATACCAGCAATGTACTTAACAAAATTTTATATGCATATCAATATTATTCATGAATGTACATGATTCAGCGTGTATATACTTCCTTACCAGGAAAAAAATACAAGGAAAATAGAAAAAAAAAACCTTTATCTTCAGTTACATCAATCTGACTTACATTATATTTCAAATATATTTTTCGCTACAGCAGATTTCTGGGCCAACAGACTGTAATAATCAACCATGAATATTGCATTCTGGTTTAGAGAGATTTTCGAGAAAAAAAATAGCAATTAAAAAATAATTAGAGAACATTTCTTTAAAAAAATATAATTAAAAAAAATCATATTATAATTAGGGTTGTTTAAAAAAAATGGCATAATGACAAACATTTTATCGATTAACTATAAAAATATCGAATGGTGAAGCTGACCTCAATATTGCACAGGACATCGTTAAACAAGACATAAGCATGACAAAAACGTGTCATGTTTACATTTCTCGAGTACGGGAAAAACCAACTATGACGTCACGCGTAAGCGAAATAAGATATACCTACATAAGATTTCCGTCAGCAGCCATGCAAAAAAAAATTTTGTGTTCCCCGTTTATCAAAACATTTCATCATATACTGATTATGACCTGTTTTTACATAATAATATTGCCAGTGTATTCACCGAGTATGATCTTGCTGTACTAACAGATCGTGTATGACGTCACCGAACAGAGGAGTGGAACAACATATTCCGTAATTTGTTCAAGTTTACAAGAATGTTAATTTTTTATATTATTTTTATATAAGATGGTGATTAATGTAAAACAAATTGTCAAAATTGTATAAAAGACCTGATGGTTTACATGTTTTGCACTTAAATAAATGGAGACTATGACGTAGTAAAACAGAGTCATGTGACCATGTGTCCTTCATCCCCTTAAATGGCTATCTTCACTTAATTTATCTTTCGGCTGTTTTTCATTATGTACCGGTATGTAATATCTATATAGATTAGTGGATTATAAAAAGCTGCAAATTATGTGTTTGGGTAGGGTGGTTTTTTATTTTTTAATTTTCTTTGTACTCAAGTTGTGTTCCATTACGTAATTGTTTTCTTTATCATGCATTATTTGTCACAATATAAAATTACAAGATACACTGTATACGTGAAGGGTAACCTTGACTGCACACAGAGTAAATTTCGACCGAAGTTCCAATATACAAAAAAAAAAAAAAAAAATAAAATAAAATAAAATAAAATAAAATAAATAAAAAAAAAATAAATCGAATTTATTATAATGCGTCATCTGTAAGGAAAAAGAATCATATTAATATCCTGTTGTAAAACAATAAAAAAAAAACCGAGTGATTAAAGTATACTGACAAAAAGTTTTTAAAATGTGAATAATTTGAAGACATCGAGTGCACGACGCTGATTCACTGAGTTGTCAAGGCATGCTTCAAATGTGCCTGCATACACAGGCAAATAAACCGAACAGACGAGTTTTCACTGATGTAAAACTAGTTTCTACTAGTTTCTACTGACACTTTTTCATTTTTTAATACAGTCTTTCTGGTAAAACGTCGTATTGCTGCAGATTTATTGCGTTATTTTTCATTAGTCGAATCAGAAACATATACTTTTCGTTTTCAAAAGTAGGAGGGGGTGGGGGAGCCAGAGAAGAAAATTCAACTTACCTAAAAAAGAAAACTCTTACAATGAAAACAACGGGAAGAGGGGAGGAATTGTTTAAACTCGAAAATCCTATTTCATGTCCGGGAGGGTGTGGGGGTTACATTTTTTCAGCTGATTTGCATTGCATTTTAATTTGTAAAAACTAAATATTTTGAATTAAATGTTTTCATTAGTTTTAAAAACATTCTCGTATATGTCACGTCATGAATGGCTATTGATTAATTTTCTATTCGATATTGTCAGAGGTGATAATTCCTCGTAATGGCTATGAAATACTCGTTCGAAACACCATATTCTGCGAAAAATTACCGGTAAACCCGGCTTCAATATTCATGTATTATAGCCACATCATGAATTCAGGGGAGGGGGCGTTCGTAATTTTTCGGTTGATCAAGCTTCTTCTTAGATATCTCCATATGCCAATGAGCAACTTACGCTGATAGAACTAAAATTATTGTCAAAAACACATTTCACTATGAACTGAATTTTTCCTGCAGAAAAAAAGATGTACGTGCATGTACATACACAATTAAAGTTAAAATATTTATCTGGTACTCTCGATCGATCGAAAGAGCAAGAGCCACTTAGGGCCTTTTTTGGCCCTGAGAATTTCTGAAAAATCGAAACTGCTAAGTTTTGGTTGAAAATGCAGTATTTTTAACTTGGACCCTTGGTGACCATGTATCTATTGAACATGACGTAATTTTCTTTCTAGTCAATGCATTATGACGTCATAAAATACGTCATTTTCCCCATTTCCTCTAAATTCCCTTAAAAATGGCCAAAAGATGAGGTATTTTTTCAATATTTCATATAGAGCACAACCTCTGATCCAAAATATGCAATTAAATAATGAAAGATCTGTTTCTGAAGATCACAAAACATGTTTTAATTTTTGGATCGTGGGCTGTGCTCATATTTTAATTCTTTGCTAATGGTAGTCAAATACGCATGTTTTCTGCAAAATTCAAGAGCATTGCATTTTCTCAAAGCCTGTTTTCCAATACCTGGATTCTTAAAAAAAAGATTTGTTATAGGAAATGAAAGCACTAAGTCTCTACTTTATTTTGATATGTGAAATGGGACAGAGGGTGATAGTCAATTAATTGATATAAGGACAGGGCCATTTTATGCATAAAGTGAACATAGCTCTTGCCCAGTTGGATGATTGATTGTATGTTGTTTTATGTCCCATTCGAGAATTTTTCACTCATATAGAGACGTCACCATATATCGGTGAAGGGCTTCAAATTTTGACCTTTACTGGGCACTCAGGGCCATTGAGCAGTGAGGGATCTTTATTGTGTCATGACACGGGGTCTCGATTTTTAAGATCTCATCCGAAGGACCCGCAACTTTCACTTCAAAGTGCCGAGCGCATGGCGAAGGAACAGTTGCTACCCATTTTGTTTATCGACTTAGGTCAGTCGCGGCCGAGATTCAAACTCACGACCTCCCGATCACGGAGCGAGCGCTCTACCGACTGAGCTACCGTGAACGGTCCCAGTTGGTTGAAGTTACATCACTCAGAGTTTCTACCCTATATAATCAGTTAAAAAGTCTAATTAATAATAACCGAACTTAACTGTTAATTCTATAATTACATGTACAAAGTTTACCCAGTATCATGAACAGAAAGACCATAATTGTTTTATGTTTATTTTTTACCTCTCCCTCTTTGACTTCATGCTTCAAAATAAGACATTTTTCATTTTTATTTCATTTCTCTTTTTGGAACCCCTTGTCTCGTTTAAATGTCCATTGAAATGTATTGTAGCGTCACGGTAGCGACTACGCCAAGAAAATAGTTTTGAGGTATCTTGCGGGGATTTTATCTATTGAAATCTCAATAACATCTAAGAATTCAATAAAGCGACTGTGAATACAATGAACGATCCCCTTTTCTGGTTACGTTCGTTCGTAAGATGTCGGTATTTTTCTATTAAGATGAACAATAAAAAATATATTGATAGAAATTAATAACATTGATATTTACCTTTTAGACGTAACTGGAAACCTTTAGCTGTAAGACTGTCATAATTCGAGTAGAGGGTGACCATTAGTTTGTTTCCTCTCGCTATTCTATTGGCTGTTAGTTTCCCACATTGTTTAAAAAGTGTGAAGTCGTACTTGATGTCTTGTATCTAGTATTAT